ACAGCAGGAAGCACTTCCGGCGTTGTTGCATCACACTCCTCACACACACACATGCACAAGCACAATAACTGGATGTGCGGGCGATGGAGCCATGGGTGCAGTCAGGTTTGAATACCTGCAGATCAAGATCACCTGTCTTGCATCACTCAAACCTCCAGGCAGCCAATAGAAGAAAAGTGACAGTGGGGGGCGGGAAATCCTTTCTCAGGATGGGTGGGAAAGTTCAATGATCCACAGTTCCCTTTAAACACACACACACACACACACACACACACACACACACACACACACACACACACATGCAGTGTAACTAGATAAACAGCTTATTGAGTATGTGGCTGTGCAGCTTTTGAAAAAGATAAATTGCCGCCTCCACTGTCCCATGTAAACACAATTGAACAGGAGGCTGACTCACAATGTGTTTAAGAGCCCTTCCAAAAATAAGGAGGAAACACACACACACACACACACACACACACACACACACACACACACACACACACACACACACACACACACACACACACACACACACATATGACCGTGTGTATCACAGATTACAACTTTCCTCTTTCACTAAACGCCGTCATTCATACATGGCTGATGAGTAATCTAAACCATACAGAAGCAGAGAGTCAAATATTTCTGTCTCCAGTTTTATTTATGACCAACGCTGTCCTGAAATGAACCCTACAATTTTACTAGAAAATACCCGCCACTCAGGACTGGATCAAATAAGCAGTGTCAGCGTTATACTGCAGAACAGACACGTACAGAGTATGCAATAAAGACGCAATGGCTTCAATATCACATCTCATTTTTACATTGTTCTTTCACTCCTCTTGTTCCCTTTAACTTTAAGAACTTTAAGACGACTCTGTTTTCCAACCCAGCAAATGTTTTTTTCCTTCTAAATGATTCAAAACTAGTTCAAAATGGAACTTTTTTTCACCCATTTCTAGACATTGATTAGATGTTTACGTTTAGACCAGCAAATCTGCTTCAGTCACAAGATTCATCAAACATTCACCACATCCATTTTCAAGTCTTATCTCAGATATATTGTATATAAAGTGATTGTATAACTGTGAAGTGCATCACAGTCATCACCCATGAGAGATGTAACGGGCAGGATTTGATTTAATCTCCAGGTGCCTGCATGAAGGTTTACAGTTCAACACCCTCAGTGACCAACAACTCTCTTAACCGATTTGCCATTAGGTATTCCTCAACTACTTTCTGTCTTTGTAGCCAGAGCTGTACAGCCTGCGTACCTGTGCATGGCAAATGTACGTCTTTTTTTATCCTTCCTGAAACTGCTCGCTTTACAATGTATCAGAAGCTTCTTGTTAATGTTGAATTAATTAGCTAAAACATGTAGGCAAACTTCTGCATACTGTGCACAGTCTCTAAAACTCACTGTAACTTAGGTTAGAGATCATATCATAAAACTTGATTCGAATCATCCCATGTGGGTAAATCCTACCTTGAAAGGACAGGCGTCTGTATATAGGACTTTTGATTCAGTTTTGTTACCTCAAAGTTTCTGCTGCAGGTCTTTTCACAGCAGTGAAATGAAAGCACCTTGTTAAGCTTGCTAGTGTTGCTAGGTGAAAAAGCGGGTCACCTTCATGGCTGGTCGGCTCTCTGACTTCAGGCCTCCTCACCTGCCCAGGAAGCTCATCAGTCAAATGAGCCTTAAGCTCCTCCTCTTTTGACTTTTAAGGATAATCACAACTGTCAACACGCACTAAATAAATTAATCACACAAAGAACAGCGTCTCCTTCTGTGGTGAGCATGTGTTTGAGGAGACGTGTGAATAAATGATCATGTCTTTGTTTAACTTTTTGGGCAGTTTTTTTTTTTTTTTTAGCTCAACCTGTCAGCATACAGCTCATAGCGCTGTGAACTTTTAAAAAACTGATGCCTGTCAGTGTCACACCAACAACGCCAGCAGAGGTAGTTCTGAATGGATGTTCATAACACCATCACTGAGATATAAGAGGTGCTTTGGGATGCCACAGAGATGTAAGATAACCCACCTTAAGATAAGCTCCACAGTACTCTCTTCCTTTTCTAATTTGACGCACAATGTCGCTGTACATGCATGACTTGCATGAAATAAAGAAAACCCTGAAATTGTTACCTTCACTTCCTTCATTTTGAAAGAAATGGAGTCAGTGTATGTAAATGAACACCTTGAGCAGACACTCTTTTCTTGTTCTGTTTGACACAGCTTTAGGCACCGGCTTATTTGGCTGTCAAGTGGCAGGCTAAAGACTTTGTGCTTGTGTGACATTTAAATTCGCTTGTACAAAGATTGCATGTAATACCACTTTTGTACTCTGAGCTGTCTGGTTTTAAAGTGAAAGCAACCATTAAAAAGCTCACCTCTCTTAATCCCTCTACAGGCCAAGGCTCTGTTTACATTCAGAGTAGTCTTTTTTTTTCTCTCACAAAAGCCTCCCAGTACGGTGCTAACAGCGTTTCCTCTCAGGCTGCACACAGACTGAGTTCGCTCTGCCTGTAAGGCCTCACTCGGGGTTAAGAAAGACCCAGAAACATGATGTGGACTGAACTGTCGCTGGGTGGGGATGAGATTGAAAACAATAAACACTTTACTCTTATTCATTAAATGGGATATGTGCAAATGCCTTTGCTTTAAGGGTATTCTTCTTCTCTTATAGGTCAAAGACCTTTAATCATGTTATCGTGACAACCCCAGGTTACTCGCTATCTCCCTGCTTCTGCTCCCTTTGCCCTCTCTTTGTACAGTCAGCTACCAAAAAAAGTCAATTTAATCTTCCCACATCTGTTGCTGCTGTGAGGATCTTCTTTTGTCAGGTGCTTAAAATATGTAAAGTTGAAACAATTAAATGTGGAATTTCTGTTTTTACTATGAAGGGCCTAAAATTAGTTATAAAATCAACAGTTTGTGATGGCATAGAGGATATAAAAGACAATTCCAGTATTTTTCAACATTTTGGGCTCTTAATGACATAAACTGACTGGTAGATTATTTTCAAGCCAAGGAAGAGTGTTTAGGATTAGTATTAAAGAAAGACAATAAATGACTCCCTTTAAAGTCTCCAATGCAGTCAATTCAAATGACATGACTAAAATTTAAAAGAAAAGAGTTTACTGTGTTGCTACAGGGAATAGTTAAAGGGGTCATATTATGCTTTTTCTGGTTTTATATGCTCATTAGTGTGTTTTCCAAGTGTCCTGCATGTTTAGGCACATCTATGTGCAAAAATTCAAAGTCCGCGGAAACACGGCTTCTCCTATGTCCTCCTGTTAGCTGTAGCATTAGCTTCATGTAACGCTCAGTTCTAGCCCCCCTCGATAAAAATGTGTCAGTGTGACGTCTTGTCAGTGTGATATCACTGATCTAAGCCCATTGGCTCGTTGTGGCAAGCCCTGCAGCTCGTGTTGCACGCCCGTTAACTTCTGTAGCACGCCCACTATATGCCGTAGCCTGCGGTAGAACAGTAGTGCTAAGGTGCTAATGTTTATGCTCCCCTCGGAGCCAAAGTGGCTGCATTCCAAATATGGTAAAAGGGGAGTGACATTTCAGAGAACCGTGCTGAGCGACTGACCAATTACGGCAGAGCCGACAGGCCGACCAATCAGATTAGACTTGGCACACGTGGGGACTCTGAACGTGGGCACTTCAGAGCCTCAGAGAGAGAGTCAGAAGAGAGCCGGTGCATGGAGCGGCAGTTCATGAAAACAGACACTTTTTTATAACTTTAGCTATTGCGAACATACTTTAGTAGGTACATAGATTAAATATATGAACCCCAAAAAGGGCATTATATGGGCTCTTTAATAGATGGGTTTTTCATGGCGATATTATATCGTCCCCTGGGCAAATATATCAAATGTGCTTTTTTAATTTTGAATTGCTGAAGGGGTTGCACATTTCATTTTTAACAAGTTGCATTGTTAAAAATGACTGCAGTCGTCCGTACATGTTTGTGTCCAATAGAGTTTGATTAGACTGAAATACAAACAGTTCAGATCGTGAGGTGCATGCAGCCTTTTACAGTGTTGGTCAGTCTGGGGTCTTGACTCCCTTTGTGTAAAAATAGACTGAGAATGTTTTCTCATTTGACAAAACAGCTCTTGATTTAGTTTAATTTTATGGACAAAATATGAAGTTAAAAAAGTTAAATCGCAATAATATCGTGTTGTGAATCAAGTATTGAGATAATATCGCATCATGGGTTCTCTGCTGATTCCCAACCCTATTAGTTAATGTTTTATTTTCTGTGTTTAGAACATATTGTATAGGACATGGATTAAACTTTAAAAAACCTGAAGTCACACAATAACAGAGGTTTCCTTCATGTTCTTATAGATATTCTTTTATAGTGTAATTACTTATTTAAAGCTCCTGTGATTACTTTTTTACTGGTTATGGATCAGACTGAAATTAATATTGATGCCTCTAGATGACCTATAAAGGCAAATGTGACCTTCAGCCACGAGATTGATGATTTCTATTTTGTTATTTTTAATCCATCAAAGCAACCCTGCAGGGTAGGTGTCAGCTGATTTTTTTTTTTTTCATTTTCAATAGCTAAGATTCTCACTGAGTTATACCTATTTTTTTATTTTTAAGTAAGATTAGTTGTTTTGTCATAAACCCTACTTAATACGTGTCAGGACAAGATCAGCAAAGAGACAAGAGGAACCGGTTTGTCCAGAGGGGGCGCCAAAATCAACACAAACCAAAAGTTACTCACAGGCGATTTGAAAGCTGATTTATTTATATTGTGCAGCAGATATCCTTTTACTGTTACACTAATTATATCTCATAACTAAACATCCTCATCTACATACTTAATTCTTTAGTGATGTTGTTGTATTTCACTGAGCAAAACTGAATGGATGCCTTCTGAATTCCTCTCCCAGTAAGTCACTGCTGGGGTTCAAGTGCTGTCTTTTTCCAGTTCCATTATGTGCACTAAACTCTTTCCTTTGTTGTCTCTAGGTGCAGTATGTCATCCAAGGCTACCACAAGAGGAGAGAGTACATCGCCGCCTTCCTCAGCCACTTTGGAACGTGAGTCAAGCACACTCTCCTCTGAAGAGATCACAGCATCTTCTGTTTACTGAAGGGTACTGTCGGTGTAAAATAAGACTGAGAGGGGGACATAATGATTGTATGTGTATTGCAGGGGTGTGGTGGAGTATGATGCTGAAGGATTCACAAAACTCACTTTACTACTTATGTGGAAGGACTTCTGCTTCCTCGTACACGGTAGGAAAGTCAGAAAAAAACCTGCTTGTGTGGGTAATGACACTGCATGGCTTTCTCATCTGCTAGGTTCAAAACTGATGCAATAATCTTTTTTACTGTGTCCCTCTGCTCCTGGTAGTGGATCTCCCGCTGTACTTCCCCAGGGACCAGCCCACCCTCACCTTCCAGTCTGTGTACCACTTTACCAACAGCGGGCAGCTCTACTCTCAGGTGCAGAAGTCGTACCCCTACAGCCCCCGCTGGGACGGCAATGAGATGGCAAAGAGGGCAAAGTGAGTGGTGCTGCCTCATCAGATCTGACGCCTTCTGGAAATTTCACTACTTGATGAGTGTAATGGCAAGGAAAAAAATTGAAAATTGCCATTACAATGAGTGTAGTTTTTTAAACTTTAAGAAACATTTTAAACTAGTTTGTACGCACATAGACAAACACTGATGACCAATAATCTGCCTTAAAGGAACAAAAGAAAGTTTCATAAGTCTTTCATTTTAAATTTTAAATTTTAAATCACAGGTTAAGATCATTTCAAGACCGAGTCACACGTACTCATGCTGTGTCTCATGCATGAGTACGCAACAGGAAGCCTTTAAGCGTCAGCCACAGACTTATATCCGCTTGCTTTTCACCTGGCAAAGGTAAATATTTGACGTGAATATTTAACGATCTGACTGACCACGGAAGGCAACACATGATCTGTTTTACTCAAAGGTTGTCTGAGAACATTTTCTTCACTTATGCTGTGTATTTTCATTTTAATAAACGTTTTTTGAAAGCCTCAGCGAAGGTTTTAAACGATTAAGGAAGATCTGTCTAAATGTTTGCTTAGTACTCTTAATGAGTCAATAATCAAAGAGCAAGAAATCAAATAAATAAGTTTAACACGCACAGTTCAGTCCTCTGTCTGGACTGTCTGATACTACATGAACCTCGGAACCATCAAACTTCAAATGATTTTCAATGCTTATTGGCATGATTTAGTTTTTTTTACGTTTCTCTAGATAACACTATAGGAGTCTTGTCAGTTAAATTCTTGTATATAATCAATTGGATGCATTATGGTTGTGCATATACATAATTGAATCCTTTTAAAATCAAATAAGAACACTTAAAAGACATCTTATTTATTTATTTACAATATTCATTTAAAGTGGCAAACAAATCCAATCATTATTTCAGCTTCAGTCAAGATTATAAATTTCTCTTTTTTTGTTATTTACAAGTAATTTCAACATCTTCTTATCACTCTTTAACTCTAAACACAGTCAATATGTCTCCGCCTTCTGGGGAGCCCAGTGGTTAGTGCATGCACCCACCACACATGATTCTAACAAAATACACAGTTTGAATCTACAGATACAAGAGTGGCATCAATGTTCTCATCTGACTCTCTACAAGAACTCATGAAGATGTTATAGATTTAGTATAAGTAGATAAAACTGTATGCATGTTGCTAAACACCATGAACTGTTATTTCACTTGCTTTTGTCCGTCCTGTGTCTTTCTCATGTGTGATAGTACATGCAGAGTAGATATCTCATGTAGTTGTATTTTTAACAAGTAAACACATTCTGCCTTTCATCTGCACTTTCATACACGCCGCTGGGACTGGCCTAGTGAGTTTGTTAGATGCTTTGAAGTACAATTATTGTCACATTTGATGTTTTATTTTCTGTTCTCGCTCTCTCTCTCTCTCTCTCTCTCTCTCTCTCTCTCTCTCTCTCTCTCTCTCTCTCTCTCTCTCTCACCCCAGGGCGTACTTCAAGACTTTTATCCCTCAGTTCCAAGAGGGAGCCTTTGCCAACGGGAAACTCTAGTGCTCTCCAGCTTTATGACATGCCTGGAGAGTTGCCTGTGGGAGTGTGTATGTGAGTGTGTGTTTGTGCATGCCCCTGTGTACCTGTAAGTGAGTATGCACAGACTAATGTTTGTGAAATGTTCCAACAGTACATTGAGAGTGACCGTGGGTTTGTTGGCGCACAGACTTTGTGAATTCCATCTTATTGACCTTGAAATGGCTCTTAGTATAAGTTCTCCTTTAGTTTTTCATTTAGGTTTAAATAGACACAACTTTAGTGTAGAGGTTGAGAAGAAGTCTGGAGGGCACTGTCATATATTTCTGAAATGAGAGGCTGACAAAGACTTAGTGTTGTAAATACAAGGGAGTGATGTGACTTTTACATTCTCCACCTCTTTAGTGAAAATAACAGACACATGAGCATCGTGCACATGCCGCACAAATTTGTGGGAGCAGCCTAAAATGTGTATCTTCTTTGCTTGTTCGCCAGCCATAAACTGTATTGATCGAGTGAAACAAGCAGCCTCCTGGTTGGAAAGTTGAAGCTAATGCAGTAGCACCTTAAACCTGAATTCTTTCAAATGGCCAGCAGGGGGTCCAATAGTCGCAAAAAAAAGATGTAAACAAGTTAAATAAAAAATAACCCTTCTTCCTTGATTGAAAAACCTCAGTAACTTCAGAGTGTATAATCTGTATTGGTAATTTAAGTCTTCTATAATATAGCATGACGTTCATTGAGGAAGTAATGGTCAGGGTTAAAATATCATCAAGGATAAAGCAGTGTCCGCGTTATGGCCTGGTTACTTCAGCCACCCCTAAGAAAGCCTTGTTCAGCTTTCAGTTTTCAATCTTTGGTAAGTACATTTGGTTTAAAGGCAGTTTCTTCACTAGCCATAATTAATATCACAGTTACCATTAATCAGAGATGAGCTTGTCCTGGATTTAGCTTACGACTATGTTTGCTCCTTACAGTGCCACCTTCTCGTCCAAAAAATTAACTTCTATCCAAGATTCAAAACACCAAGATAGTCATGGCCGAAATGTTTAACTAGAGGCTTCTAAAAGGTCGTCCATAAAGTGATTGCTGACATCACAGTGGCTACATCCACTTCTTGTATGCAGGCTTTTCTGCCTAAAGGCTTTTCTCTCTAAAAGGATCTCCACAACACCCTGTACAGTCAGTCTGTCTGATGTTACAAAAACTATTATTGTTAAAAAGTGTTGTGCCAATGGCTTAAAGCATTCAAACCCCAGAGGTCCGCCATCACTATTCTCCATCCAGAGCGGCCGTTGCGTTGGTATGTAAACAATATGAAAACGAACTAACTACATGTAAATCACAAAGAGCTGTGGGGACAATTCAACAACAACATGTTAGAGTTTGGCTGCACTTTGTCAGAATATCTACATGACTTTTCCTTTTAACTGTCTGTCTGTTTCATTGAAGCATTCAAAGGCCTGTGAAGTGACAATACTGTACGTTAATGAAGAATAAGTTCTGTCTGAGTTTCTATCCAGTAAAGAAGTCTGTTTCCCTCCGACAGTGTGGAGTTCTTTTGTCTTCGGTCTCCACTTTGTTTTTTTGCCTCACTTGTTTTTGATATAATCGAACTCATGGGAAACACGTGGTAATTGTATTCTTTATTAATTCTCGTTGAATCCAACCCTAATGTGCTGTGATTGGCTAGTACTTTTTGCATCAACGTTGACGTTTAGAGCTTTTTACCAAGAGGCTCTTTCACCATGGAGTTAAGGTTGTCAAAATTGTTGATACTTTCAATTTGTACCCCATGTTTTAAAATAATATAATCTTGATAAAAAAACTGAAATTTCCCCTTGCGGGGATCAATAAAAGTAAATCTTAATCTTAATCTTAAAGTAAATCTTAATCTTAATCTTAATAATCGATAGTAGTAGGTACAGTCCCACATCTTAAAATATATATATAAATATGGATCTTCTGTCACATTTTTAGCCAGAAAGAGAGAAAGAGCATTGTCTAAATGATACAAATACTTTGGCAACGTAAGCTTATTCGTGCATTTAGAGTTTGTCAGCAATTTTTAGTCATAAAGAAGAAGGAAATACACAATGTTATTCATCCTGTTTGTAAACTGATTAATGTAATGCCAATTCATCCAATTTAGCCATTAAAGCTGTGTACTCCCCGACCTACACTGCCAGCATTTGTATAGCTGAAAACAGAAATTGAAAATGCATTCAAAAAGAACGCAAAGCCAAATTGTTAAGGAAAATAATTGTCATGATTCTGTCGTCTTGTTCTTAAAATTTCACTCTAATATAATCATGTGCACACCTTAGCACCCCAATGCATTTATAAACCTTAAGAGATACTGCTGCATTTTACACTCCCTCAATGTGCCTGTGTAACAAGGAGCTGCAGCAAACAGAGGATGTGTGTGTGTGTGTGTGTGTGTGTGTGTGTGTGTGTGTGTGTGTGTGTGTGTGGATGTGCACATGCATGTGCTTGAGCGTGCGCCTGCTTGTTTTCATCATTAAATATGAGGGTCATAGTTAGGGGTCCTTCCCGGCCTGAGGCGCAGCCCTTTGCTATATTTATTGTTGGTAATGCAGCAACTGTCAAGTCTAATTGAGAACTATAGGGTGAATGTATCTGGGGCATTTAATAGCATCAAGGCTCTTAATAAAATAATTAAAAAGCAAGATTCTTTTTGTCTTTTTCACTGCCCCGCTCCATGTTTCTTGCTCTAACCTTTGCCGACCTGCTTTCAAAACATCTGTCGTCAGCCGCGGGATGAGCTGCTCTCATTTTGGGATGTCTGAGAGGGGGGGGGGGTGTTACAGAAGAAGAGAGGAAGCAAGCTGATAGGAAGCAGCTTTAACGAGCACGAGGAAATAAGTTTGACTTGACAGTAAAATTGAGACATCACGACTCGTAATGCTTTTTTAATACTAGTGAAACTAGTGAATGTGTCTTTGGACTGAGCCTCAGAGGTTATGTTCGACTTTCTCTCTGTCCCCCTTAACCCCCTTCATAATCTAATACTAAACGACTTTTACATTTTCATTTGTTAACAGTATTGAGATAAAGTCTATTGGACCAAAAACAATCCATCATAATAACATTTAATATTCAGAATCAGATGTTTGATTGAATCCATCCGACCATGATCTACCTCTTATCCGGGGACGGGTCACGGTGGCAGCGGGCTAAGCGAGATGCCCCAGAAGTCCCTCTCCCCAGCAATGTTTCCCAGCCCCTCCTGGTGGATCTCAAGGTTTCCAGGCCAGAAGGGATATATATATATAATCCCTCCAGCGAGCTCTCTGGGTCTACCCCTGGGCCTCCTCCTAGTAGGACCTGTCCAGAAGACCTCCCGAGGGAGGGGACGAGGAGACTTCCTGATCAGATGCTCAAACCACCTCAACTGGATCCTTTCGATGTGAATTCACAAGATCTCCAAGCTCCTTGCCCTATCTCTAAGGATGAGCCCAGCCACCATTCTGAGAAAACTCAGGAACCTTCAGGAATTACTTTACCATGTTTTTTCTAACACTAATATGCGTCTCTAGTCTGGAATCTGCGTTAGGCTTTTTTTGGCAAGTTTCTTAGAAAACACATTTAAAAAATATCTCACAAAATGTTTGGGAATGAGGCTCAGCTCATCACCCTTATAGTTGATCTCCTTGGTGCCACTAACTTGCTCTGTGTCATTAGTTTTCTTCTGGCTGGTTTTCAGAATCAGCAGTAGCTCAGTCTGTAAGGACTTGGACTGGGAACTGGAGGTTTTTTCAGTCAAGTCCCAGTTATGAGTTAATGGCAGGTCTGGAAATTGGTCTGGTTGCAGGAGAGGTGCGAGTTCAATTCCCAAGCTCGGGGCACTCATCCATGTGCTGCCCCATCTCTCCTCTTGTATTTCATTCTATGTGGGTGTAGCAGGTCTTAAAAATAACAGAGGGAAACTTATGAAAGGGATTATTAAAGTCATTCATTATTTGTATAGCGCCAATTCATAACAAGTGTTATCTCGAGACACTTCACAAAAGAGCATTTTAAAGACCTTACTCTTTCTTAAGGAAAATGGGATAAGATGCAGGAAGGATTTCTCCTTTGTAGTCCTTGTGTTCCTGTTGTCCACACTTCCTTGTCGCTGAGGTCAGAGGTCGGGGCAGGCCGTGCAGTAAAGTGTATCTTCTTGTTCCTCTTCTTCTTCTACTACTGTATAACTTGCTTTTCCTTCTACCACCTCAAAAAAAAACTAAATTTTCACAATGTGTATTTACAATGTCGTACATCTTTGCCTTTTCTTAATGAACTCAGGACCCTCAGTCAGATGTAATTCATATGTTAGATTGCCTTATGTTCACTGGAAAATAAGGAAATACAAATGAGACACTCAAGGTGAGTGAACAACATGTAATTACGTGCAACATGTATGTATCAAAGATGCTCACATACTGTATATCCACAAGAGCAGACCCCTTTGTCTTATTTATCAAAATGATGGATCACTTTCAGATCTCAGATACTCCATGGATGTATAAGTTTAAACCATATTTTTAACCAGCATTACACAAAGTGAGCCAATTTAGATTGTCAATCAGTAAAAAAAATAAAAAGTCCACATTCCCAAAGTTTTCTTTGCTCCTTGATGTTGACTCAAGTTGGCATAAGCTCTTTAAGTAACTCATAAACAATTCCTCTCAAAGACTCTTAAAACTGTGTCACTGTTTGCCATCTTTAAGTCACGTTCAGTTAGCCTCCTCCCTCCCCGAGCCCGAAACATGGCTCACCTTTACACGCTTTTAAGCAACTTACCAAGGATTTATCCAGTGTAATGATCCTGTGGAGGTGCTGCTCAAGGTACCTTTTGAAGATGTATTTCTCAGCCCCCTGAATCACAGAGCAGAGGTCTGCCAACCCTCCCAGCTAAGACTCCAAATCCACTAATCCAGCCGTCTTTAAGAGATCTCGACGGCAGTCGGATGGAATAATTAAAGGCTGGAATAATTAGCTTGGAATCTGTGGACGGGGATGATTAAATTGATGAGCGTTTTATTTATTTTTTCTGTGGTCCCCATGAGTTTGCGCTTTGCTGGACTGGGTCTGGATTTTAGGAACAATTTAAGATGCAGTGATTTCCCCTCAGAGAAAGATTGGAGGGTTAATTGGTGTTTCGGCTTTGTTTGAACTATTGTTTCACTCCACTGAGTGCCCTCAGGTGAGAAGAATTTCATTAGCCAGTGGCAGGACAGAGCTAACATGATCCAACAAAGTAATGGACGTAAAAGGCTAACAAGAGGCCTGTCTGCTCCAGAAGCAGGTGTCCTTAGCTCAAGGGAGCTGGCAAACATGAATATTAGCATTAGATTAACATTAACCGCTCCGGTGACAACCCTATAAGCAGCTAGCTCGGAGGCAGCGAGGACCTGCCAGCCCAGAGAACTGACAAGTGTGTGAAACAGGATCACTTAAAGCTCAGCAACGAGCACCTTCCTGGGCAATAACCCAGAGTTAGCTCTTGGCATCACTCACCCGGCTTCACCTCAGAAGTCGGGCAAGTCGCCGGAAACTTTTTTTTGAGTAATGTGTGGAAGAACGACAAAGTAGCATGACATGAGGCACTGCCATCGACGGTATACCTCGTGAAAAGGAAAAACAGAAAAGTGTGAAAGGTGATTGAAAAATCCTGAATCATCTCCTCGTAAACAAGAGGCGGTGAACAGGCGGGGACGCTGCGAGGTTAATCAGAAGGAAACAAGGAGCATCCAAAAGGCCTGAATATGTCAGCGAGCGGTAACAGCCGCCTTGTTCAAGATTGTTTACTTCCCTCTCCTGTCACTGTGTCCGAATCACCCGATCCGTCAGCCTCGCCTGATTCTTCTTTTCCCGTCTTTATTTTTTGAGCAGCAGCCTTTTGACTTTACATATTCCCCCAGAAAACAAAAAACAAAAGACAAACAGTTAGCCGAGTGAAAGAGGAAGGAGGGGGAGAAATCACAAACTCTAGTGACTGTGGGGTAATGTTTTGTCTGTAACTACAAATTCAGAGTGACATATGGGGAGTTTTCTTTTTTTCCCCTTCTCATCTTCTGCATGTTTGGAGGGAGGGGGGTGAGGGGGTGGGGGGGGGTGTATGAGGAGGGGTGGATTTCAGAGACTATGCAGCATTTGCGATGCAGCGTAGGGTTGTTGATGCGAGCCATGTTGAGGATGATGGAGCTGAGAGGCTTAACTAATTTTGGAAAGAGAGAGCAGGAGGAGGAGAGCGGGGGGGGGGATTTGGGGCCTTTTGTTACAGCCTGTTTGATCTGGGAATTTGTAAAAAATGGCCCAGAGATGTCGTGAAAATGAGAGAATTACTGCTCGGGTCCCTCACTCTTCTTTTTTTCATCGAACTCGAGGAGCACGAGAACTCTAATGCATTCCTGAGTCAAAGCGTCACATCTTTCTTCCCCCCCCCTCCCTTCTTGCTTACAGATAATAACTGGATCTAGTTAAACCCTGATTGTTAATTGCTAATTACTTCCTCGAACATGAGAAGCCAGGAGAGCGTGG